CGCGCCCCCCGCGGCACCCCTGCCGCGGTCCCCGCCCCAGACCTCCGCAGGACAGAGCACAAAGACCAGCAGCCTGACCATCACAGCCGTCAGTTCTGCAGCGTCCTGGTCCACACAGTCTGGGGTGAGATGTTGGTCAGATGTGTTCACAGTAGAAGGGAAGGTTCCAGAACTTTAGGATCAGGCCTCACCCCCTCACCCTGTCACCCTGTCACCCCCTCTCCCTCTCACCCTGTCACCCTGTCACCCCCTCTCCCTCTCACCCTGTCACCCTGTCACCCCCTCACCCTCTCACCCCTCACCCTGTCACCCCCTCACCCCCTCATCCTGTCACCCCCTCACCCTGTCACCCTGTCACCCCCTCTCCCTCTCACCCTGTCACCCTGTCACCCCCTCACCCTCTCACCCCCTCACCCTGTCACCCTGTCACCCCCTCTCCCTGTCACCCTGTCACCCCCTCACCCTCTCACCCTCTCACCCTGTCACCCCCTCACCCTGTCACCCTGTCACCCCCTCTCCCTGTCACCCTGTCACCCCCTCACCCTCTCACCCCCTCACCCTCTCACCCTCTCACCCTGTCACCCTGTCACCCCCTCACCCTGTCACCCTGTCACCCCCTCACCCTGTCACCCTGTCACCCCCTCTCCCTGTCACCCTGTCACCCCCTCTCCCTCTCACCCTGTCACCCTGTCACCCCCTCTCCCTCTCACCCTGTCACCCTGTCACCCCCTCACCCTCTCACCCCTCACCCTGTCACCCCCTCACCCTGTCACCCTGTCACCCCCTCTCCCTGTCACCCTGTCACCCCCTCTCCCTGTCACCCTGTCACCCCCTCTCCCTCTCACCCTGTCACCCTGTCACCCCCTCACCCTGTCACCCTGTCACCCCCTCACCCTCTCACCCCCTCACCTCAGTGACACAGACTGACCGCAGGAGGCAGCAGAGGACCAGCAGCTGTCGTTTCCGTGGTGACCAATAGTTGAGTCTCTTTTTCAGCCGTTCCGCTGCTGAGGATTGTACCGTCCGTCTCTTCCAGGTGGGGGCAGCAGACATCTGGTCAAGTCAGAACACGACTTCCAGGATCCCAGCGTCCAACGGCGTGAAACCAGCGACCGGCAGCAAGGCACTTCTGGGCCCGTCCACAGTAGCCAGGTTAGAATCCCGGGCCGACGGCCAGTCCATGAAGATCCAGCTGAGGTCCACCACGGTGTCCACGGTGTCCACGGGGACCACGGGGACGAAGAGCTGAGGGCGGAGCGGGAGTGTGTGTGGGTGTGTGTGTGGGTGTGTGTGTGTGTGTGCGCGTGCGCGTGTGCGTGTGCTTTCCACAGGTGAAACAATAAAGGATTCTTTTGTCTGACATTGTTGACCTTTGACCTCAGACTCTGTCCTTTTATCTCTGAACTTCAAGGTTTCCTCTCATCTTTATAGTTAAAGTCCATGTCAGACTATACACAGGCTGACCACAGGAGGGCGCCGTGGACCAACATTGAACTTGGCTCTTGGACTTCAG